CGGAATTTTGGTGTTGGAAGGAATGGAAGGGGGGGGGGGGGGGGGGGGGGGGGGGGTGGGGGTATTGGTGCGTGTGGATGGGCAAGAGTGTGGGTGTTGCTTTTATTCAGATCTCTCACTCAAGACTTCACAGCAACACCGACACCAACATCTACACCCACACCCACACCCACACCCACACCCACACCCACACACCACACCCCACACCCACACCCACATTTCAATTCATTCAATCACAGAATTACACGCATTTACGTCTCTTGCCAAAAGATCAGTTACAATTACGAGAGAACCTTCTTAATTATCCACAACATGCTAACCACAGCACACTAATCTATGAGCAACACTATCACTTTGTTCATTTTGGTCGGCAAATGAATCGTGTTTTCTTTTACATAAATCAATTGCGAGATCCATTGGACCGTGCGTTATCTTCTTATAATTATGTTCGGTGTAAATGCAAAATTCATGGACCTAGTATGTGTGCGCTATCGCATTGATCGTTAGAAAATCTTACTATGGACGAATGTGTCTCGACAGGTGATCCTGCTAGGTGTCTCACTCTAGCATACGGTGTCACTTTAGCGATGCCTTTCTTTTGCGGTCAATTACCATTATACGATGAAACCTATATGAAAATAACCAATGATCCAGCTTTAGCTCTTGCTAAATCTAACATTGAACGCCATTATCTTTACGTGGGTCTGGTAGAATATATTGAAAGTTCTTTAGAACTGTTGGAATTCATCCACCCATCAATCTTCTCTGGTATATCAAAGTTCTATCGAGAAACTTTCAATTGCAGTCGTGTTTATGTAACCCCTATTCAGTGTCGGCGTTCAGTTAGTAACAAAATACGCACTATTCTGGTTCGATTACTCAAATTTGAGTATGAACTGTTTTATTTTGTCGAACAACGTTTCATTGATCATTACGCGAAAATTTTTCGTAGAGTATCTCGTCGCCACCGCGATTGATATTCACAGAGAAAGGATGAATTCTCTTCATCTATTACAGATTCGACCCTACATGTTATCCTCGAACATGAATATATTATTTAAATAAATTCTTTAATTTGGGCAAGTCAACACAATTGTTACAAGATTATTTTTTATTTTTTATTTATTAAGTAAATTTTGTTTTTTTTTTATTTGCTTTTTTAAATTAATACATAAATATAACATAAATACAAAGAAAGAAGGAAAAAGAAAAGAAACAATAATAATAAATAATTATATATAAAAAAAATTTTCTACGCGAGGCCTTTCGAATTGTTCTTTTTTAAGCGAATTCATATATATAGAAATAGGTTTATGAAAGAAAGTTCAATTGAATCTTGATTTTTTATATATTGTTGGAACCACGATTGTGAATATTAATTTTTGAATATTGATTTTTATACATGTTGCAGGAACAACGATTTTGAATATGGATTTTTTTATGTATATTTTTCATGTATTGTTGGGGTTTTGATGTATTTTAATGGATTTTCATGCGCTGTAATGCGTTTTGGTGTATTTCAGCATATTACGATTCAATTTCATATGTTTTAATGAATCTTAATGATCCTTCATGCCTTTTCGTGCGTTTTAGGATTTTGGTACAGTTTTATGTATTATTCGGCGTTTGAATAAATGTTCATACATTGTCGTATGATTTAATGTATTTTAGTGCATTTTGATGTTTTTTAACATACTTTGATGTATTATCATGTATTTTCATGCATTTCAATGTGTTTTATTGCGTTTTTCGGTAATTTGATGCGCTGTTGGCAATGTATTTTTGAGATATATTATTCCGAACTGGCAGTGGTTAGTGTAAGTTTAAGTATAAATTTGAGTAGTGAGAGATAATTTTCACAAATAATAGGAGCAAGAAGGCATAGTTTTACAAATAATAGGGGTAGGAAGAGTTGATTGTACAAATATTAGGAGTGAGGATGAATAATTTTATAACATAAAAGAAAATTTTTTTATATTATATGAAAAAGAGATTTTTACAGTATATAGATGATAAAAGAAAAAAAGCATAAATACAACGGAGAGAAGAAGCTTTTACAATACATAAGAAAAGGATTCATACAATGTAAAGAAGAAAGGTTTTACAATATATACAAGAAAGATTTTTTAATTATAAAGAAGAAATGAAATAGAAGGAAGGTATAGGTGTTTTACGATACACCTTTTTAATTACAATGATTCAGAAGTTTTTTGTTAGTGTTAGTACCTTTTTATTTTTCATTTTTATTTTTCTTCCTCGTTTTTCATTCTCTTAATGTTTTTCTTTCTTATTTTTCTCATCTTTTCCTATTGTCGTTGTCATTTTAATATTACTTGATGTTAGTATTATTTTATTCTTAGTTCTTTTTTATCTTATATTTTATACTTTTTTATTTATTTATTCTTGTTAGTGTTAGTATTATTTTAGTATTCTTCTTTTTCTTTTTGTTGGTTTTATTTTTCATATTGATTTCTACGTTTTTAGTGTTGTTAGCTGAGTTTTTATCTAGTCTTATTTTTTAATATTTTTATGGGTTTTTGTATGTATTTGAGGTATTTTTTCTATTGTAGTTGTAGTTTCAAGATGTTTTTGTTTGGTCGTTTTTTAACTAGTAATTGTTTTAAATTACTAGTTAATCTATTGGCATATATTATACGTGTGCTGTCTAATGGTGTCTCCTGAAAAATTTCTTTCCATATTTTGTGGAAAGTTGTACCAAAGCGTGCCAATGTTGGTGTGCACGAAAAATGGCATGTTATATCGTTTCGAAAATCTATCCCTCTTTTTTCTTTTTTGTTCCATTGTTCATTAAGTATCTCATTACGATATGTTGCATGGTTTTCTCCTATTAATCGATCGATAGATTCTGTTCTTGTGAGATCTTTATAGAATCTCTGCATTTGTTCATCGACGAATGTTGCTGAATATTTATTTAGCATTAGTGTTATTTTTATTCTATCTAACTCTTCTCTAAGATCATTAGGATGCGAACATATTCATGCCGCTCGTAATGCTGCACCATATGGAATATTTCTCATGATGTGCTTCGGATGTACTGAGTGATAAGGCAATACATAGGGTTGTGCTGCTAATTTACAATATATTCTTGTTCTAAAATTTGGAATCTCGATTCTTATTGTTACGTCTAGGTAATCGACTGATTTTCCTCCTTCCCATTGTATTTTTAAATTTGGATCAGATTTGTTTAATTCTTCAAAAATATTATTCATTTTTTCTAGTGGTTGTTTCCTTGTTAGAAAGACATCGTCTCTGAATCGAAAATATAATTCTTTTTGTCTGTGTTGTTCTTTTACTAAGATATTCTCCCATTTTTTAACGTATATGTCAGCAAGTACTTGTGTACATGCTGAGCCCATGACTCCGCCTCTAATTTGTTTATAATATTTAGGTTGTTCTGCTGGCTGTTGAAGTACAAAGTAGGAATTTTCTAATACATGTAAAAATAATGATTTTATTGTGTTTATTGATAAATTTCCTATCTTTCGACATCCATTTCTACCTAAAAATTCGCATACTGCTAACACCGCTTCTTTCTGTGGAATCATTGTGTAAAGATCCGTTATATCGAATGTGTAAAGATTTGTTTCTGATGTTGTTTTATATTCTTTCAAATGTTTTAGAAGTACTAAGGGGGTATGTTTATTGAATAGTGGTCGATTAATCTTATCAAGAAAACTAGCTATTTTTACTAATGGAGATTTTATTCCGCTTACTATTGGTCGAAGCGGCTCACCTAATTTATGATCTTCAGGATTATAGTATAAGTGTGGTAACTCTGATTCAGCGCTCGATGGTCTTAGTTTATCTAGTAGTGATTGTGGTATTCTTTTCATTGAAACAAGATTTCTAAGAAAGGACCCCGCCGGATTTACCGAACTATTTATTTAGAAAAACTAAATACAGGGTTTTGTAGAGCTCAAAAAGTTACATCGAACAGTATCTGGAGGGTGTCTGTGTGGGTGTGGGATGTGGGTGGGTGCGAGTTTCGATGTAGTTGTGGTTGTTCTTCTTTCAATAAAACTCACCCACAACCCCACCCACACCCCCGCCCACACCCACACCCACACACCCACACTCACACACCCACACCCCACATCCACACCCACACCCGCACCCACACCCACTCCGACACCCACTCCCACACCCACACCCACACCCACACCCACACCCACACCCACACCCACACCCACACCCACACCCACACCCTCAATTTTATCAAACGTTAAAATGTTTCATAGTTTCTCGCCGACCAAAAACTGAAAAAAACAGAGAAAAAAAGCATTATAAAATATAAACTCTGACTGGTAAATATGTGTTTTAAGAATAGTTTTTCGTTTTTTTGAGAAGGCAAGAAGAATAAACTCAAGATCATTTGTGTTATTTTATCTGCACCTTATTACATCATCAATTGCATCGCATAATTAATATACAAAAAAATAGAGACAGTCGTCAAACAAGTGATTCAAAAGATCATAATTAATAAATATCAGATGTTTATGATTGAATATGGAATGTTTTCTGATACTAAAAGAATTTCTTAACAAGTCAGATGAAAAATTGTCGTCCGAAAAAAGAAGAAATAAGTAAATGTTTTACAATTAGATTGTATTTTAATTTTTTTGCAAAAGACTTTTCGTTTACTACTTTAATGTAGGAAATGTATTGTATCGATCATGTTTACACAAATGTTATTGATGTATTCATTAATGAAATAGTCGACCAAACGACTGAAATTTCTGAATATATACGATAATTAACAATATATATACGTATATAGCATTATATAGGAGCATTACATGCCATAACATGAATTGCATGCCATTACATGAATCGCACAGCGTTACATGCCGTTACATTGTAGTTTATCTTGTCAACTGCATAACTAAAGGATTAGCTGATACAACTTGTAATTGTATTTGCGCACCCATCCGCACAATAAAGAAAAACTATTGATTTAATGATGGAAATAAAACAATGAAATAACGATATAAAGATGAATCAAAAAGAGAACTGATAGTCTTATTAACGAATCTTCTTATTCATTTGTATAGAATAGACTAATAATGAGTAAACTGATCAATGATATACGTCATAACTAATTAATAAATATGTTTACTTATTGTGTACTCAAAAAGTGAGTACACTCTAGAATCGGTCAGTGTGTCTGTCCGACCGTCCGTCCGTTTACACGATAAATTTTGAAAGGAGAGTCCGATTGAGATGAAATTTTCTACACAGTTTAGTCTTAACAATATCTCGGTCGAGTTTGAAGATGAGAAGGATTGGCCGAGCCGTTCCTGAGTTATTGCAAAAATACTCATTTTTCCCTATGGCTTCCTGTAGGAAAATCGACCTATCCCCACATTCGTAAAACACTTTTCCTATCATAGTCAAATGAAACTCCAACTATTATACACCGTTCGATAGAAAATTTCACGAGCTACAAAATGGTATATAAAGCATTAAAAATTGAGCTCAAAATTTTGGGCCAAAAAAAGAGTTTTTTAAGAAAATAGCGACATTATATAAAGGTTGGCGAAAGCAAATCGGGGTCGAGGCATCTGAATCTGAAGTCAGATTTTTGAAACTTTTGAACTCCATTTTTTTAAGAAAATAACGATACTGTATAAAGGTTGACGAAAGTAAATCGGGATCGGTGAATCCGAATCTGAAGTCAGATTTCGAAAATTCTGAACAAAAGTTGTTGGGTTAAGGAATCGTTTCTTCACTTTTTGAAGTACACATAATACTCGGATTTAAATCCGAGGTTTCTACATTTATTATCATCATTATCTTTGATTATTCACTCACTAGTATATTCTTGTTGAACTTATTATCTTCAACCGATCATCCGATAGCTATTCGATTTCAATGATTACTCTTATCTAATTTTAATAGATGTCATTAAATATTGACTACAAAAGTAAATTATATATATGTCGTGCCGAAGTTATAACTTCGATAAAGAAATATTCGTCGAAGTTATAACTTCGACAAAAAAATGTTTATCGAAGTTATTAATAACTTCGACAAAGAGTGTAACTTCAGCACGACATATATATACTTTTTTATTGAATGAAGAACAACGACTTATCAATGAAAGCGAAACAAAATAAGAGCACTGTGAAGCAAAGCGAGGAAAGAGACATATTACATCGAAATTCGAGATTATTTAATCAGTTGAATAAAAGTGATTATTCATGTCATAGATGATTCTTTTACATTCAAGGCGAAGGATGTATGCGTCGCAACCGCCATGAACAATGCTGCACTATGATTCGGCGAAGGCGTAACAAATACCATACGCAAATATGTAGACTTGCTGTTAATCCTCCATATAATCCAAGCAGTGTTGTGAATATATAAACAATATTGTTTGGTTCAGCACGATGATATTGACATATTGATGGAGCACATTCTTGGAAATATGCAGAATAATTAAGTGAAACAGCATATGATATCCTGTAATAGTCATCCAGAATCGATCCTATTGAAGTCGTTGGTGAGAATGGCGTTGCATTAAGATTAAATGTAGTAAAAGAACTACCCAGAACTCTATTTAGTTGATTGACGCAAACATCATCATAGAAGCATTCAAATGTCGACTGTGAAAGACCATCCATGATTGAACATCCAACAACAATGCCTAAATAAATGAAATATCAATGATAATGAATTTAGTTTTTAAACTATCATCTTTTAATCATAAACCTTTTTGAAAATCTCAGTAAATCAATCTACACTGATAAAAGTATATAAGAAAGTTTGAGAGAAAAGTTTACCTGGAAATACATATGAGTCATCGGTCGAATCATAATATATAGGTAACTTTCTACAATCAGATCTACCACTTGGACAAAAACAAGTATCATTATTTGACGAAATTGGAATGTTACGAAGAATATAGTTTTCATCTAAACCTGAAAATTCTATTTTCCAACTTGTCATATATTTGTTATGAAATTGATTTGCTTGAAGCATATCAGAAGTCCATTTAAAAACTTTTTCTGGTGAGAATATGAAATTGCTATCTATTCCATTTTTAAGTAAGTTTGTCCATGCCTTAAATGACTGTAAATTCATTGCTTCAATTGATATCAAACGTATCTGATATAAAGATAACATTGCTTGATCTGAACTTTCTGTCGCGAAAAGACATCGGTAATATAGGAGACGAAATTGTGATTGAATGAGATTCCAATTGAATTCTTCCAAAACTATGTTTGTTAGTAATGAAATCACCACGGAATACAGTTGAAACATGATCTGATTGCAATCTTGAGAATATACAGGCGAGACAGTTAGAAACTTCAAGCTAGAAATAGCAATATGTGTACAAGGACATGATAAACTATCAGAATATTGTCCGTGAAGAAATGAAAAGTAAGTTTCATTTGGTGAATCCACATTTATCACTACTATACCAAGCTGAAACCGCACGAAAACTGAGATAATAACGAAACATAGAACAAGTAGAACAATATAGATTCTTGTTGCTGAATGTTGGTGTTCCACTTGTGGCTTTTCTCGGTATACGTTCACAGTAGAAAGCTCATCTCGAATATAGGTAAATATCCTTCTCCAATGTAAAGGAATGTCTATAATGAATCAAAATTATTAAACAGTGGAAGAAAAAATTCTCACCTCGTGTTTGCCGACGACACAAATGATAAATCAGATAGATAATTTTAATGAACAATGGAACGAAAACACGAAGAAGAACAGTTAATCCTCCAATCAAGCCAATAACTAAGTTAACATAAGCAAAATGATGTAATTTCTGCTGTATTGTATAGGTACATATTTGTGGCTGGCAATGAGCATAGTACGATGTATAATTTTTTATGTAGATCCATTGATCAACAAAAGCAGTCCGCATGAGAAATAGGAATGGGTCTTGAAGTTCCATTGTGATGACATCATTAGGATCAAGTGCTGTTATATTAGTCAAATTGATTGGTAAATAGATATTTTCATAACCATAAAGACGTTGATCAATTAGCATCTGGACACATAGTTGATTGTAAAAACATTCTAGTGTAGAAAAACTAAAATCTAAAAGTGTACAACCAAGGTATAGACCAGGAATAATTTGACCTGATATGATATCGGTTTGTGCAGATAACAATGAATTGCTATAGAAACCCAATGATTTTAAACAAACTTGAACTTCTTCACAATCACATGGCCGATTATTAAAAATATTAGTATTGTCTGAACCATATTTTAGAATCCACGCATTATTAATATGGTTGGATACCAGAGAAGGATCAATAAAATCGAATGAAATTAATCCACCCTGTCGAATACTTTCTTCCACTTGATATAATTTAGCCCAGTATATTTGGCCAATCTAAAAAAAAGATATAACGATACGCTTTGTTTTTATTGATACTAGAATAATGTTATTTTGCTTCACAAGATTAATCTGTCTGCTTTTCCTCGTTTTGTTGAAGATCCACATTACCGAAGATATACTCCATAGAGTAGGAAAGAAAGTCTCAAAGTTCAACAAAATCTTCTGATTTAGATGCTCAATGTGTTAGAAAACATTTTTTAGCTGTCATTTTTCATTATATTTTACCTGCATTTGCAAATAAGTTTCCCACATATAGGTCGTTTCATTGAATTCTAGTTGAGAGAGAGGTTGAGGAGAGACAAAATACTCGTCTTGAAACGAATTCATTATATTAGACAAAGTTCTATTGGCTATATCACAGCATATTTTAGCGTAATTGAAAAATTTAAGTCCATTCTTTCGAAAATCAGTCCAATGAAATAGTGGATTAGGATCGATGGTACCATTTAAGAATTCCATTTTCCAATATTGGAACCATCGATCATCATGCACAAAACTACTTGTACAAAATGAATGAATTTTTATGTCATTGGATATAAATGTTGAACGTGGTATCAATGAATATCGACATGGACATGAAAGAATGGATGAATACATGGCATAAAGGTGCTCAAATTGATCTGGACTTGGATTTTTGATAGTGATTCGTTGTGAACTAACTATTGAAGTAGAGTAAATGGTCAATGTGTATATACCAAGCATCAATAATATGATATAGACACGAGTAGAATAAATCCCATGTCGAACATTGGTGAAAGTTGTTGCGAACAAATTAAATGTAGTAACTTTGTGACCAACTAACTTAATGAAGTTTCGTATACGATCTTTGAAATCTATTAAAAGAAAAAGAAAAAGTACAAAATAAAATATTCTGAAGTAGAGATTAATTTTACTTCTATTGGGTTCATGTTCTTCATCAGCTTCCAACGTTCGAACTTCTTGGGGACAAAAATGTAAAATGAATTTTAGCAACAATGGCGATGCTATACGTAATACTACGATAAGTCCACCAAAAACACTAGCCATAGTTGTGATCATGTAAATGAGAAAGAACCGTTGTATATATGAATATGAACATGATTTTGGTGCACACGTTTGAAAATATGCCTCAAAATCAGTAGAGTTTTTCCAAGATTCGATCATTAGATTATCAAAGAGAACATTAATAGTTGTTGTTGGATTGAATCGTGAAGGGTTTGAAATATTTAAAATTGAGACAGTGGAAAGAGCACCAGTCAATGAAATTACCATATCTAAACATGATTGATTATAAAAACATTCCAATGTTGAATGAAGCAATGCGTTTTGAGGTATGCATCCAACTTGAAATCCTGGTACAATGAATAGAGATGGTTCATCAAGTGAAAACACTTCATTTGGAATGATAGCTTTTGATTGATTATAAATACCAGCAGGATAAATACAATGATTTTTCTGATCACACCGACATATTTCATTCGACATCGATGACGATTGAGTTTGATTAACTTGTTGTGGATATATGGCAGAAAAAGTTTCAAAAATGTTACTACCAGGAACACTTCTCGTATAGAAATTTGTTCGTAATGCAGATATAAAACGATGTTCTGAAACAAGGGATAACACAAAATGATTGTGTAAATGAAAATTGTTAAGTGTATTTTTCTTGAATTGTTCAATGGATGTGTCTATATAACTATGAAGTACGTCACGTGACAATGCATTTAGTGAAAACACTGATGCTGAAGCCAAACCTTTAAGAGCATCAATTACAACTCCATGTGATATTCGACAGAGAAGAGATAAAACTTGCAATTGTGCAGAAGCCACCAATCGAAAATCAAGAGGATAGTAATTGCTTGTATTAGCATTGAATAACGAAGAAAACCATTCTTCATTGATGAAATTACTTGAACAAACTTGATGAAATTGTGGATTGAATGACACAAATTGTAGATAAGAAATTGATGTTTGAGAACAGCGACATGCAGTTGCAGTTGGGTATCTATTGATGAAACTTTCGAATTCATTGACAGATGGTGAATAGACAGTGAATGCACGTGTTTGAGGAATAATACCAGTAAATGCTAGTATAATCACAAGAGCGATTGAAAGCAAGACGACGAAAACACGTGTTGATAGAAGCTGACCAGTGAGAGTCATCTCATCATAGTCATTGTAGAGATTCAGATTACTAATAAAATATAGCAATTGATTTTTATGTTGAACATGAGTAGTAGATTGAGTAATCATTGGTGTAGAAGATTATCTATTAAGTCTATTACGCAAATCTTAAATATATATCGAGCAATCGAAAGACATAAACATTAGTAAATGGTTTATTTCTTTTTGCCTCCTTAGAAAAGTAAAAAGTCGTTAGAATTTTTTTATTTTAAAAGTTATTCATTCCACATTCCGCATTTCTTTGCTTCTTCTGTTCTCTAACTGATATTTTTTGAATATAAGCTTTTATGGTATATATTTCTTTTTCTTAGCTCTTGGTTAAATGGTAAAAATATTGTGCTAACATTTTGGTAGGCATGACTGAAAAAATGTAATAGCTCAAGAAAAATCATTACTCTGGTGAGCGAGAGAAATACGCTTCGAGTCTATGATATAATTTCATTATTTTAATTTTGACTTTTGTTTGAGTAATGTTTTCTTACTTCTTCTTTTCCTTGTTTTAAACTGCTCTTAAATAATTACTTTATTTTTCCACTATCCAGAATGACTTTATTCATAAAATAATTTTCTATTTCTCAAAAAGTAGTTTGTTTTCTTTATTTACAAAGATGTTGTACTATTATTTAACAGAATCAAAAGTATCTGATTGTAAACTGCTGATATTTCTACGTGAATCAATACATTTTATTTCTAATAAAAAGTAGTTGTTTTCTCTAATAGTACTGTTTAATTGGTATCGACCATTTGTTTTTAATTAAAAGAAAGCTGATTTTATTTCATTTTATTGAAACTCTTATCTGCTCATGAATTGAAAACCTTTTTTTTAAGGCTGTAGTTCTGTCTGCTTATGGGTGTGGGTGTGGGTGGGGGTGGGTGCGGGGTGTGGGTCTGGGCGTGAGTGTGGGTTGTGGGTGTGAGTGTGGGTGTGGGTGTGAGTGTGGGTGTGGGTGTGAGTGTGGGTGTGGGTGTGGGTGTGGGTGTGGGCGTGGGTGTGGGTGTGGTGTGGGTGTGGATGTTAATCATGTCTTAAACAGCAATCACACCCACACCCACACCCAAAACTTTTGTATCTCTTCGTTCAACAATTGTTTAGATGAAATTATAATCAGATAACGTGT